AAGGGAGCTGATGAGTTCCAGACGGTAGGATAAACACGATGGCACAGCGGAGAGCTCACGGCGCAGGACTAACATGTTCTGCTTCAAGATGAGAGAGCTAATGGGGTTAAGGGTTAGTTAATTCAGAAACGGAAACGGGGTTGGGGGGGGGGCGGGCAGGGGAGCGAAGGAGGCGAATGCATTTCTGAACAGATGTGCGTGACCTCCAGGCTCCTGGAGTCATTAAACCTTGCGAGTAGGTCCCTGCTCAGGAATTTGTTTTCTTTTAAGAAACCATTGCTACTCAGGACTCCCTCTGTAAAGTGACTTTGTATTTGCGGGCTCTTCCGGACCTCGATCATGCGACTGTGCCAACTGAAGTGCTCTTAAAGTGCTGATATGTTTCCTCCACCTATTAAGTATTTTCATTTATTTCCCCTATAAAAAGCAGCTTGATACAGCAGCAATTTGTATCTCTGACAAAAAAGTTGCTGCTCTTTCTCCTTACTTTCCTCTTCTGCGTCTGAATAGTTTTCCCGCTTGGTGTATATTTTCACCACCTACTTTAAATAACACAGTTCGCAAAGCAGTTCAGGAATCTTGGCCCTCCCTTGTGAAAAGCAGCAGAAAAAGCACAGGCTGGTTCTTGCGCAAATAGCTAGTTACTGACTGCTTTCTGGTTGTCCCGAAAGTTTTCAGTCCTGCTGGACTCTCTGCCCCACGTTACATTTTTGGCGCTTGGAGTACACCCGATCAGTCGTCTTTAGTTGCTTCTGCGAGCTGCATCGCTCTCCTTTAGTCGATCCGGGCATTTTGGGGGAATTCCCAGACTTTTCTCTCCTGCTCTTCCCTATTTCTGGAAGCGAACGTAGAGCATTTTGCTTTCGAATGCTGTGCTACTTCTTTGCGTTGCTGTTGGTGATGAGGAATTCACAACTCTGTACCAATTTTGCCACTGCATATATTACAGCTACCACGCTAACTGCACTCCTAACCCCTCCCGGTCTCTTATCTAAGCACAACGCTTGCATCTCAGGTCGTTCCTCTGCGGGTGCTTCAAGGTGGCAAGACAAGAGATTTTTTTTTTTCACCTCTTAGCTAGGTCCTAGGTTACAGTCACTTGTTTGTCCCTTGGCTCAGACTTGCATTACATACTTCCGCTGTTCCCTTATCCTTCCCTAGACATCTGCAACTGGCCACCACCGCAGACCAGCTGCAAGGCTGGCAGGAGCTTTGGTCTGACTCCGTACAGCAGTTTTTACATAACGAACCCGCAGCCCTGCGGATCGCTGTGAAAAATGATGGACAAAACAGCTTTCTTCAAGTAAATAATTATTTATTAGGACAGAAGTCCTCCAGACACTCTATAATGAAAGCAGTCAGTATGAACGCCTCCTTTTCGCTAATGCTGCTGTTCCCGAGTCCTACCACTTAGGGTTAAACTTTTACAGTCCCCTTCTGACCTCCTACTCATGTCAGGTTGGCTCCCAGGTTACTTCGTAGTGCATGATACTGCTTCATGTCTCTGAAAAGCACATCTGATTCCCTTTGTGTCTTTTGATAAGAAAACCTGCGTTTGCAGGCGTGAAGGGTCCTTGAGGAGAGCTGCCTGCCCTCTTGGCTTCCACATCTGCTTGCCCAGTCGTGGCTAGTAGTTGCCTTCCCAACTGCTCTTCCACTGCATCCTCTGTGAGAACAGACGATGCAGGAAATCCTGAAGATCTAATAATTATTTATTCTGATAAATAGGTTTTATTTACTGATCGAATGCCTTACAATACCTATACACTCGTTACAGCCGTTACAAGGATTGATTTAGGTCGCTAGCTAGCGACTTTTTCTCCGTCAGACCTTTTTGTGTGTCTTAGAAACGGGTCCTTACAAAAGAAAAGTGCCCTTCCCCGTGCCGGCAGCGCTCTCCGGGGTGTGTTGCCACGCTTGGCACGACCGGAGGTTATAATTCTGAACAGATTGCTTGCTAATGTAATAATCGCGTTGCTGCCCACTTTCCTCGGCCCTGAGGAGGCTGTTGCGAAACAATTCTTGCGATATCTGGCGGCCTGGAGTTTCTCGAGCCTCTCTGGGTGCGACTTGCAGGGCCAGAAGGGGCGCCAGGGCGGGCGGCTGAGCTCGACTGCGGTCGCTTCGTCGCGCAAAGTGAGGAAAGACCGGTTAAGCGCGCCGTTGGCTTTAACGCTAACGACAACGACAGCAGCAACAAAAAGATAAAATGAAGCTAGAAGTGACGCACGAATATTTCCTAACAGCAGGGCTGACTTCAGAATTTATAGTTTTGTACGTGTTGTAACGTATGTACGTTTGCAAGTTGCCTTACGAAACGATCAGCAAGAAAACCCTGCGGAGAAAAGGCGTGTAGGCCCTGGGATGGCACTGCCTTTTTTTCTCCACAAATCTCGAGGCTTTTCACAGGCTCCTCTGTCTTCCTGTGGCGACTCTCTGTGTCTGCTGGGGAGGGCCAAGCTGTCCTCAATGAGAAATTAGTTAAAGACAGCAACGACTTCCTTGCTGGTGAGTTGCCTGCTGATCAGCAGCTGCGTGTTCGCCATGGAGCCTTTTTCGTCTCGTTAAATGAGCATTTCTTCAATGCATTTCAGCTACGTTTCTCAAGGTTCGTCATAACCACCGTTGCTTTGAGCGTTAGATATTCTCTGCTTGCATTTGGTGAGGAGGGACCTGAATGACATGGTAGAGTTTCTGATTTGGATTAGAGCTGTTCCCCGCTCACTCAAGCTTGCTTCTCAGACACAGTGAATATAAGCTGTGTAATGTATACGGACACCTTGGTTTACAATACTTCTCCCTTTCTTTAAACAGTTATTCTTCTGAATCAGACTCAAGGAACAGAAATCTGTGAAAACCACGTTGGAAGATGTTCTGGATGTTAAAAGAAGAAATGTGCATTTGTTTCCCCTTGAATTAATACTTGCAGGTGTATTTTTATGCTCTAATCTCCTTCTGTTTCTCTCCTTTTTGCGTAAATACATCTGTTTCATGCAGTCTGCTTCTCTATACCTTTTCTTGGACCTAACCCTTTTTCCTCTGTGCTTCAAACTTCTCTCTTTCCTTTTTCCTAACTAGTCTCTAGGACATACCCACTGCAAAAGTTTCACCACCGAGCATTCAGCGGCACTCGAGCATATTCTCATTAACTTGGCACTTCCATGTCTGCCCTCCAGAACTTCTGTAGACCTTCTGCCCCAGTTTCCAGTTCTCACGGTAAAATCTCGTTGCCCCTCCCATCATCTTTCCTTGCTCGTTTTCCTCCAGGGTACCACATTCTCCCGTTCTCATGCCTTGCTGTCCATGAGAAGGAAGGTAGTCCTGCGGGAATGGGGAAAAAATGGTTTTGCCACAAAGCACTCTTTTTATGAGCCAGTTTTGCATCATGCCTTTTATTCCCAGTTTTGGAGCCCTTTTATTTAAAACAGCTTTAAAAATTACTGTCAAGTCACATTCTTTTCACAACATTTTAGCCTAAGGAGACTGACTGAACATCCCCTGGTGAGACAGCAAAATGTTCTCCAAGTTCAACTATGTAGCAAGCCTGAGGGAAGCATCATTAAGGTCATTGACAAATTTTAAATAAGAATTAAAATAAAATAAAATAAAACGCAGTCAGAAAGAAATGACAGCTAAAAACACCAGCTCAGCTGAAATCCAGCCAGCAGAATCCAGCGGGCTTCAGCGCCAGCTGCAACTGCAATGCAAAGAGTAATATTGTCAGGGGATATGTCAAGGTCAAGGAATGACATATGGAAATTTTGAACTAATAGAGGGACTGGGAGGACATTGAGGATCCACCCAGCTACTAATGATAATTATTGATGGGAAAGACGCTTAGTCACTTTGGTGATAAGAATGCCAGCATGGCGCTTCCTCCAGGGTTGCTTGGACAAAGGCTGTTGTTTTCTCTTCTCCTTCTTCCCGTTTTAATGGAAACCAGTCCTTCCACTCCGTTCTACACCTGCCTGCCCCAGATCGACTCTCACACATCTATGCATGTGCATGGGCCCTGAGGCATAAAGGGATGTGATGCTACAGCGCTGCAGCTGGCTCCCACCGATAGTGGAAGCTTACCCCCCGACTGCTGGCTGCAGCCCCTCTCCCTTGGTGTGCTGCCTCTGTGCTTGTCTCACCCCACTCAGCCCACTAAGGTGGCAGCAAAATTACCCAAGCAAATGGAAGCAATCAGTTTTCTACCAGCTAAAGGAGCTGCGCTGGTTGGCGCGGTGTCAAGGCAGCCCCAGAGCCAGTGTGTGGGAAGAGGTGGGAGTCTGTGAACCAGGAGCAGTGCAAGGAAGAGTGGGACATGCGCTAGCAGCAGCGAGCCCTTCGGTTACTTGAATCCTCCCATCCTGTGGCACCATAGGGCTGGAGATGTAAGTATAAGTGGAGTATCCTGGAGATTTCTGGGAAAGATGCCATATTCAGTTCACCTGCAGAGAAATTTGTCAGGTCCCAGCCCCTCCATCCGCTGTTTATCGCGTATACTCCTGCCTTTAGGTGTATATGGCAGGGGTTCCTGCCCACACCGTGATTTCTGAGGAGCAGAGGGCTCTGGTGTATGATGTGTCACCCACACACCAACCACGGGCGCACCAGGTCAGGTGGAAACTTCCCTCGTCTCAAACTGAAGTTCCTAGCAACAAAGCAGCTAATGAGGAAGTGTTATTTGCTAACGAGGAAAGCTTAGTTCACACTGCGATGAAATTATAAGAGCAGTCCTGAGACAAAGGGTAGGTGTTAGTGCGAGGCAATGACTGTGTCAGAAACCGGTCTGTTGGGGAAGCTGGCAAAAGGCTGGAACTGCAAAGCAGTAACAGATTAATTCAAAGTTTTGGAGAGAAAAATGTTGTGGAGAACTGAAATGCTGAACAGCTTGAACTGGACGGTCTGGTGGCCTTCCTCTTTGCCATCAGACTGGAAAAGATCGTAACTACAGTCTTGCCAGCTCTGAAAAGACTCTTCCTGTGTTTTAAATAGCAGCTTGTGAGTTTTCCAAAAATCAGATCCCACAAGGGGCATTTCTCTCCGTCCATTGCCATCCCCCTGTTCTAAGCGGTCTGATTTAATTATTGCTGTTGCTGGGGTACTGCTCAGATATTTAATTACCCTTCAGTTCTGACAGTGCCTGAACTAAGGACTTTTCCTCCAGGCAAGCGTAGGGCCCCTTTGACATCCTGACGCAGGTTTAGCGTTCAATAACGTGAGCAGAGCTGTGAATCGCACCCCTGCTGTTTGAGGTGCAGCTCCAGGAGAGCCAGGCCTTATATCCCGTTCCCTCTCTGCTCTGTTCAGCTTTGGTCCTTACAGCTCTGCTTCTACATTACACTGCCTTGGTTTTCACCAAAACTGCATGCTCCCCTGCGGTGCTCCTTTATGCTGTCTTTCGAAAACAGAGGCTTTTCCTCCAGCAAGCTTTACAATGCCAGTTCATATTAAAAGAAGAGCTTGACACTCATATTGTACCCATGTGCTTTGCACAGAAGGAAGAAATCTACACCAAATGAACAGTCAGGCCCCCTTATTTCACTGTAGATGTCTGCCAGAACATGAAATATTGGTGCATGTGTCATTTTAAAAATGGTTTCCATTATATTACAGATGATAACTCTGGAATGGGGCCTGTGTCATAGGTAAATGAAGATGAAAGCCACCTTCTGTTCTAACTTGTGTCTTACAGAGAGAAAAGAGAAATGTCATGGAGCTGCCTGGCTTGGAATTGAGCAGGGTCAGCCAAGAAATGATAGACAAAGCACTCGGGAAACATATTACACCTGTCACCCTTAAATCCACAATCAAAAGCAACCCCTTGTACAGTGATATCCACGTGGATGATGACTGGGAGGAGAAGAAAAAGACTCCTTCCTGGACCGTGCAAGACTTTGACAGGCATTCGCTGCGCTCCAACTTGGCCAGCAGCATCAAGGTAACGTGCTGCTGAAGGGCGGCTGAGCAAAAAGGCGAAGTGCTAAGGACGGTGTGTGTACACGAACCACTATGTAGCATGTTCTGTTCTCTCCATGGTAGGAAGCCAGAAGTGAATATGAACATATTTTCCTGTACAGACATGACACTAACAGCAGTCTGATCAGAAAAAGAAGTCTACATATGCGGTTAGACTTCAGCAGTTTCTGTTCTGCTGCAGACCATCTCTGTGACTAGAGAAAGTCTTCGACTGCAGCACCCCGTAACTCAGTTTCCCCATCTATAAAACAGGTACACTAAAGTTATCTCACCTGAGAAAAATACAGGGGAGATCCATAAATGAGGCACTAACATACTAGATGGCCACAGAAATACTCATTTAAATAGCATCATTCTGTTTACTGATTAACATACATTTTCTCAGCCTTACCTACACCATGCAGGATCCTTCCTGCTTGTGGGCTGACACAGATCACTTTTAGGGTAATCTTGGGTTTTGGTTTTGTTTTTTTAACTGTTCCCTTTTCTGGAAGGTGACTCAGATCGGCATTTGTAAATTAGCATCTCTTCTTTGACATGGTTTCTTTTGGGTCTTTTGATCGCATTTCAGTGGCTGGTGTCCTACATTTGGTTCCTGGCTAAAAAGTGTGGTTTTAATTTTCCCCAGTGGAACAACATTTGCAGCATCTGGCAAGTAGCGCAACCTATGTTCGAGTGAAAGTCTCTTGCATTTATGTTATGACGCCTTAAATTCATTAATCACTATCTGATGATAGCCAGAATACTTCTAGCTATGTTCTAATGACTTTATGTGCAAGACAGAGGAACTGAGTTCATTTTCTGATTTTTCTTTTAGGAAAATCCTAATGATCTACAGTTCTGGATGGGGGATATTTATACTCCTGGGTATGATACCTTGTTAAAAAAGAAAGAGAGAGAAAAAAACCATTCCAAATGTTGCCGAATCATCATGCTCATGGTACTAGCTGTTTGCATCCTGATTACCATAGTCTCGCTCAGCGTTTTACTTACTTAAATCAGCCAAATACTGTTGATGGGAGTTTTTCAATAAATATTTTTATTAAGCTACTCCCCTCCCTTGTTTTATTTGAATTCCAAAATTTTTGTCACAAATACAATTTGTTTGACATCACTATTTTATAATGTTCCTGCGCAGCATAAGGACTTGATCCTGAAAAGAAACAAATACTCTGAGCACAACAGAACTTGCCTTATGGGTATAATTAAAAAGAAAACTATAAATAAGCTACTTCTCATAATGCCTTATTCTTTTGACTAGTGCTTTGGAACAGATCCAATCTCTAGTATAGTACATATGGTCAGTATAAGCAACAATTTGACTATTTGCTCTAGTAAATATGCGCCGTGGGGTTCATCTTTTTATGCTAGCTATAATTAGAGGATAGAAAAATATGATAAAGTGACATTCAAGATATCCCAAAGAATTCTCAAACAAAAAAATACACGTTGCCAGTGACTGAATGCATTGCTGCAGGGACTCAGCACTTACCAAAAAGCTAGCCTAAATGCATAAATGTTTCCTTATGCTTTTTCGGAGGAGAAAAAGAAAAAAAAAAACAGATTTTGAATTCTTTGAACTTCTATCAAAAGAATTAGCTGAGACAGGGTTTCTTCACCTCTGTGTCTTGTTCTTTGAACATGCAGCACCTCTGTCACCCCAAAAGACAGGAGTGTCAATATTTTTTTAATCATCTGCCACATCAAAAACTGGAGCAAAATTTGTGCAGAGTATAAACTGCAATTACAATATACAGTGAAAAGATTAAAGACTAAGTAAGTGATCTAGCCGTGCTGTGAAAAAGGTCCTTTGTAAATGAAAGGACTAAAGATAAAATGGTAAGAGTACTCAGACGATTGAGTTCATACACCTCACAACAATTAGGAGAATGAAAATACGAGATGAAACGGCAATATTTAATGACAAAATAAAAAGTGAATGTACAAAGAGAGAAACACTTAAAATACTTCTTTTCTGTCCGAAAAATACCCCGTGTGCTGCAAACCGCCCATAGCAAAGGGTTATGCTACTCTTGAGCTGGGGATCGCCCTCACTCACACGAGAGAGTCTCACAGGGGCATGAGAGCTGGGCAGGCGGTTTTATATCAGCGCTGCCTCTCTGCACACAAAAACATGCTTTGAAATAGGTCAGCAATAGGATCGAGGTAGAAGGGTGTGTATTGCCCCCTCTGAATCCCGGACACGCTCTCTTTAAGCCTTACGTGGTTTCATGCTTTAACACAGGTTGGGGTGGATTCATCTTCGATTACGGGGTGACAGCGAGGTAAGTGTATTTAATTCCCTGCTTCCTTGCCTGGTCCAAGCTTGAACCCAGCTTGCACCATAACTCCTTTGACCTTAACTGCTTTGAAGACCCAGGTTAAAACAACATGGTGCTTTAATCTGGTGACCAGGCAACAGCAGAAGTGTAGCTGCATTTTAATGCAAAGCCTTTGGCATTAAATTAATACCGATATTATGGAATTGAACTGTGCTGGGGAACTCAGTCTCCCGGCTTGCTCTAGTTTTAGTGTAGACAGGCTTTTTGTCTGAAAGATCAGATCCATCCAGCTCATGGGAGTAAGAACTTAGAAGCGTTTTACAAGACTAATAGCTGACATTGCGAAGTAATTGTTCACATTAAAGCAACAATACTTAACTGTTTTCTCCAGCCCGAGCACATTTGCTTTTAGTGCATTGCCTACAATGCAGAAACGTATTTTTGTAAATTATTGAGGCCTGTAGGCGGGAAGCCTAAAAGCAAAGAGCACTGTAATTTCCAGGAAAACAGCCAATAATGAGAGTTTCTTAACGGCATTGCTCTCCGAGGGTTTAGCAGCAGGGATAAAACCGTTTTCTCCAGAAGTCCGTTACCGGCTTTTGCAGGCCGGTTGCGCTGCTGTCACCTAGCGGGGCGTCAGCAAAGACCAAAAAAGCTTCCAGGCACGGTTTGGCGGGTTTGCCGTAATTTGCTTTTTGATGGTTTTTTTTTTTGTTGTTTGGCTTTTTGGGCTTTTTTTTTGGTTCTTTTTTTTTTTTCCCCGAGTGCGATTTTATTCATGCCGCCTCCTTTGCTGCCACCTGGTGGCGGAGCGCGGAGGGCGGCGCTCGGCGCAAGACGCGCAGAATTTGCCAAAAAACTGGAAAAGAGCAAAAGTTGGTCCCCTCCCCTCTGCGGGAGCAGCTGCATTGCCTTTGAGGAAGAAGCCTGCTGCTGCTGCTGCACACTTGAAGGAGCCGTCACAGCGGTCTGCCCCTGCTCTGCTTAGATGCGAGTTGTAGGCGAGGGTTTGAGAGAATAAACAAGAACTGAATACTTTTTGGCGGGAAACAAAAATTAGATCGAGAGATGGCCAAAGATCGCTTTTCAAGGCGGGTGGCGCACGTACAATTTACTTCGTACAACTTACTTTGTTTAAAAATAGCGGAGACAGCACTTCTTTAACCATTGGATGAAATATTAGGCTAGAGGCGTTGCATATGAACGGCTTTATTTTTTGGTTGCTTTGTCTTGCTGCTTTTACTGATTGACTTTTTAAAATTTATCAGTGACAGTGAAGCAAAAAAGGCATCAAGTAACCCTTGGGATTAGGACTGGTGTTTGGAAAATAGAATGTTTAGTGTAGTCCAAAAGTGCTTTTAATGCTAGAAGAGTTTAACAGCTTTAGTAGGTAATGATATTTAAACTGGGCATACAACATTTTTTGCATAGTAAATAATCTCTGAGGTCTAAATTCAGCAGTCTGTTCCTAGCTCGAAGAGAACGCTCACATATATTCTTTATTTCACTTCAAAAGGATTTAAGCAGGTGCCTAAAGATAAGCAAGTAGTTAAATTTGGATCAGAACAGGAACAGATGTTGGCATGCGTATACATTTTTTTATTCCAATGGTAATCAGCTCAACTTCTGGCAAAGTCTCCTATTTAGAGTCTCATATTTAATAGCAAGTGAAAACATGTGTACGAAATATAGGCCTAACATATGCCACCAGGTCACCCCTTGCTATATCCATATCTTACCAGATGTAAATGTAATATTTTACAACCTTCTCCTATGCTCTGCCGTCTCCTTCGAGGAGGAACAGCATCCTGTCTTTCCCTGTTCCTCACTTTAGTTTCTCCCCACACACCTTCGGCAGCACTGGCTACTAGCGAAGGGTGCGGAAACAACTCATCTCTGTTGCTAACTTGACCAAAAAAAAGTTCCATTGTAAATGTGTTGCTTTTTGGCCAATCTGGGTGCCATGGGGCAATGCCTGTCTTCCCAAAGAGTCAGCATGGAGATGCGATGTGCTCCTTCAACTGTGAACAGGCCAAACTGCTTGGCAAACTCTTGATCCATGCTTCACCCAGGTTCTCTGTTGCGTAGACTTGTTTTACTGTATCAGGGCCTTAGAGAGAGAAAAACGAAAACACTCTGTTGCCTTTCTGCCAGTAGAAAGCTAGAATTACTAGCCTTATGAGTATCACCCGAGATTTACATCAGCACAAGGACAAAATTTGATGAGGAACAGCAAGAGTAGGAGGTTTGTAATAGGAAATATTGCATTAAGACTATGATTATTGAATAGATATAAAGCAAATTTGAAGACTGCAAAGGAGCTATAAAGCAATGTTGAGTACTGACATTGAACTATTAGTGAAATTGAAGTTCAGTCCAGTGAAACCATTCAGATAACAGCTTCTCAGCAAAGTAGGGTAGCCCCTGCTCCAAATCGTGTTGGCCAGGTAGCTTTCCCTCATACTCATGGCCACACATTGCCTTGTGGCAAGCGTATCAGCAAAAAAGGATTTAATATATTTGTAAGGGGTCTTAAATCAGAGGAGGTGAAATAACATCATTAAGAGGGGCGAAGAGAAAGCCTTGTGCAAAGTGTTCCTTCTCTGCTACTAACCCATGGAGGGAAATCACTCCCCGGAGGAGGTGGACACAGCACCTCCCAGAGCGCTGGCCGTTTCCCAATAGAAAACATGGGACCGTTTCCATAATCACGTAACGTATTTCTCTGCTCTTTCCCCTGGTGGGTTCACATTTATATCACTTTTTAACAGGTGTTTATTTGAGACGTAAAGACTCTCTTTTAAGTGTATGTAATTTCGAGCTTGTATGAACGCACCGAATATGGCAAGAATCGCTTAGGAGTTTTAAAATAGCTACAGCTAAACAACTTTCCCCTCCCACCAACCTGTTCTAAAACGTACAAGATATTATCAGAAGAAAAAGGCTTAAATCAGTCTAAATTCACTTTGCCAGAAAGTCTGTAAATATCAGTGAACCTGGCCTGAATTTTATACTCATTTGCTACTCAGCTGCTGCAGCATTTTAGGTTTCATGCTAGAAAAACATGGAATGCCAAATGCTAGTTTGACCAAAAAGTATGGAAGGTTAAAGCTGTTATATGTCTTACATGGGACCCTTCAATACGAGACAGCAGTCATTTTATTGCACAGTTATGCAAAAATATATCTAGACATTTATTTTTGCAAGCTGAATTCCATCATAATTATATAAGGAAAAAGGGTGTAAGAGCACTTGTTCACTCAAGACTCTGCCAACATCTAATTGCACTGGCAGTTTCTTTCATAAGTGATTTTAGCAACATTAACTTCTCTCTCCAAATATGGATTAGCTTTCAGAACTTGCTAAGAGTTGGGATTTTTTTTTTTATTGTTTCTGTTAGTACAACCAAAACTTTTCCAAACTGCTTTCCCAAACTGCTAAAACATCTTGAAAAATTTCAAGGATGAAATTCCCAACCTTCCTCTTCCTCTTTCTTCCCTGCATTCTCCTTCCCTTCCCCCCCCTCCAAAAAAAAAAAAGTGTCAGGTCAAATAACCTGCAATAAATATGAAACGGAGTTTTCATTTTATTTACTTTTAGTGTCTGAAGTTGTGGCACACTGGTACCAGTTTGGTGGTGAAGCTCCTGCAGGCACTATTTTTGGAAATTACAGCTATTTCTCCGTCTTTGGGAAAGACAGAATTCATTCAAATCC